CGATTCTCTATGCATCAAGTCCAGACCCTTGTACGAAGCAAAGTGAAGGACAGGGTCTGGTTTGAACCAGGCTAGTATTAAACAAAAAAAGCATAAAAGTTTAATGCAAACTGAATCACAACAATTTCCTGGACTTAAAAACAACTATTAACATCAAACATCCACTTCCAACCCACTCTGCTGCTAGAAATAAGTTCTTCCACCCTCGTTTCTTTCTGATATTGCTACAGCCGACAGTCCACCTGCACCCCCCAACCCCACCTGCCTGTGATTAATACAGATTTATTTTTTTACAAAAACTACAGATTTTAAGGCTCATTATACAGGTAAACGTCTGAAGGGGTTGACATGTATGTACAACTAACTTTTAGATATATTTTGAGAGTTGTTTACAAAGTGGAATAATTTCTGTAYCAGGGATCAGGACAGTAAATCTGAAAATGTAAATAAATTATGAGAAGTTCTGTGTTTATTGACCAAAGTTATCAAGATTTAATTATGTAGTATTTGRAACATGACAGTTATTACAAGTATATAGATTAGGATGAACAGAAATACTGGTTATTGATTGTTTATTACACAATGCACCAGATTATTACATCACCACATTCGGTAACAATTGCCGCAAAATGTAATAAAGTTATTACATAATGTGGCTGAGAGTATTACAAAATGTGTTGAAGACTTTTATTATATTTTGCATTAATTATTAAATAATGTGGTTTTAGCACGAGTTTATTACATTTTCAAGCCTGATTTTATTACATTATTACATAATGTGTTATTACAAAATAAGGTCTTACACTTAACAGCTTGTAGGAGAAAAACACAAAAAGCATCCTAGGTCCAAATGAACYTTAGTTTATTCACCAGGTTCTGTGATCATGCTGCTGCTGCATCATCAGTGCCTGAATGAGACTGTCAGGGTTGCCAGATTAAAAAAAAACATTTTTGCCCTCTTATAACACCCTGARTCAGCAGATATGACTGACTGAGTCATATATGCACAGCATCTCTGCTGTTTAGACTCAAAATATTAATTTTAAAGGAACAATAAAAGACTTTACTAGTYGTTRCATGTAAACGGGTGATGTTTTCGTGTATTCACCCCAGTAAACATTAGCATTTCCAGAGACCGGTCTGATGTAAACAGGGCCACCAGTGCAGTAAGACAACTGTACTTAGTAAAATGTCTCACAATAAGGAAAACTTTCAGGCTAACAAGATTAATAATCTAACACATTCTGCTCTCAGTATATCAACCTCCCTGATTAATATCTCCATTTATCTGCTTCATTTGTCTCTAATGAATGGTTATTGTGGCTCAGAGCTTTAAGGTTGAATTGTTGCCATTTTTCAATGGGTCTTAAAATTTTGATCAGGGCAGAGTTCTCTCCTGGATTGTTCTCGTTCCTTTTCTTCTAATCGAGACATTTTAAATTTAAAGCTGGTTGTAGGACTTCACAGAGGAGGAGACAGACAAATGAGGAGGTGGTAAGGTGTGCACACATTATACAGCAGAATATTTGTTGTTTTAAAGTGTTTTCTTCAGAGTTCCTACTTCTATCTTTACAACTCAACAAACATGGCATAAAAAGTTGCCAGAAAACAGTTTTCTTTAATATCTCTGTAAATAAGAAAACTAAAGATGTGTAATTTGCAGTTACGCCTACATTTTGATGCACATTTTGATCTGGCAATAAAAAAAAGACTTGAAAGAGGATCCGTATGAGTTATGGACATGTTGACATTTCTGGATTAAAAAGCTTATAAGAGGACAGCTACAGCTCAGGTTTACAGCTGAACAAAGCTACATGTCAGCCCGAGCKTCTAACATGTCAGCCAGACCTGCAGCCACGTTTGATGGGAGTCCTTGCAGTGCTGGCTGTCCAGAATACTTTCTACTGCTCACCAACATTTTCCCAACACCAGTCAGAACTAGGGGTGTAAGAAAATATCGATACACTGAAATATCGCGATATTTCATTTCCCGATACTGTATCGATATTCTAAAGCCCTGTATCGATTTTTTATTAAGGTTTAAAATGTCAACCTTCTTGCCAACCGTTCATTTTTATGTTGTAGTTCAGCCTCTGACCACTAGTTGGCAGCAGTGAGCCAGCCATTTGGCTACTCTACTTCTTGAGCGCCAGAGAGTAAGGGTAGCATTAGCATTGTAAGTAAACATTAGCTTTTCTTTTTCTTTTTTTCAGTAAGAGGTTTTTATTTAATAGAATTTTTGGACAAAAAAATCGCAATATATCGTAATATATCGCCTTGCTTACAGTATCCCAATATATCAGGATATGTCGTATCGTGACCCCTCTGTTATGATATGTATCATATCGCCAAATTCTTGCCAATACACAGCCCTAGTCAGAACTCTCTGCATCTTACCATTTAACTACCTCCAGGCTTTCCCCTAAGGTAATTGATCGTGGCACACTGCCACAGCTAAATACAAGCCGCCACACCTTCAGAACGAAGTTTTTTTTAATCAACGTAAAACGGGTTTACACAATCATTGTTTAGGTTGTCCAAGACAATACATTTCGTTTTGGACAACCAGATCCCGCCTCCCAGTTGTCTGGTTGAAAACCAAGAATAAAAGACCTGAATTTAAGTTTTCCTCTGCAGGTGTTTGTCATTGTAAATATGAACGGGAGAAAAAAAAAATTATTAAAATCATCTAGGGATTAAACTGACGGTTCTTTCACCCAATAAAGAGAACCACAGATAAAGTTGTACCCAATCAGAACAGAGCAGGGCGTGTGCACGCTTTTTCCCTTTCTCTGTGGGTGGGGGGTCGGCTGCGCTCGGCTCAGGTGAACACCTCCCGGGAGAGCATTCACCATTTCCTGGATTTTTTTTTTTCCTGAAACCACAGAGTTCTCGTAGACGTAGGCCACATCCTTCCTGGACAGGTAGTCTGCTCAAAACTGCTGTGAAATGAGACGGTCTACCCTTCGCCTGACTTCGACTTCACGTGACCACGTGCTCCCCGTTACCATAGTGCTCTGTTTCATGTCGGACTTAATACGCGTCGGGACGTGTATTTACACGTCTTTTTTACTGAAAGAATAACTTCACAGTTAAAACCTTACACGTAAATAAATAAACATTAATAATTCAGGTTTAGCTCCAGTATCTACAACGGAGTATAAGGGCCACACAGAAATTTTTAATTATTATTACGAAAATAAAGTCATAACATTATTAGATAAAAGTCTTAATTTTACGAGAATAGAGTCATAATATTACAGGATAAAAAGTCGTAATCCTATATAACGTGTCCATTTTCCGTTAATTTCCTCCTCATTTTCCTCACACTTATGTACAGCCATGTGTGTGTGTTTATAAAGTAGTGCGTGATGACCTGGATCACTGTTAGATTAATATGATTTCATCCAAATTAACTACATGACTAAATCTGTCAATGCATCCATTAATTACAATACAGCTTCAGTTTATAGTCGTTTGCACAATTTCCAAGTCCTGCTACTGATAATTTGATACTAAAGTGCTAAAAGATTAACTATTTATTTTAAGCAATACAAAAAAAAACATCTTGACAAGTTGCTCAACATTATGCAGTGATAACTGCAGGCTTTTTCATGTAAAGGCTAGAATATTATGACTTTTTTCTTGTAATTTTATGACTTTTATATGACTTTATTGTTGTAATATTATGACTTTATTCTCGTAACTTGTAGTTGCATTTTCTTTTATTTATCATCTTATTGCAGCATAAATGTCARCAGRTAAGTTGCTAAGATTCAGTCTGTCATGAACTTCCAAACTGACCATTGAGACCACACATCACAGAAGGGAGTTCTGACAGGTGTTGGGAATATGTTGGTGAGCAGTGGAAAGTATTCTGGGCAGGTTAACACTGCGGTCAGTTTAACGAGCCTCTGACCTGCATCGGTGCTGGTATCTCCTGCCAGAACACCATCTGAAGATGGTTGATTTCAGATAAAGAGCTCCTGTCTGTTTCAGGTTAGTGGGCAACTTTCAGGAAACCGTCACGTGGAAAAACGCGGCGCATCGAGTAGCAAAAGTTCACATTTTTGAACGCGAGCGTCTGCTGCTCTGGATGCACTGCATGCAGGTCAAACGCTCAAACCACACCTACGGCTTCATTGTGCACCGCGCTAAATGGGCTAGACGCGCTCCGAGTCCACCATACACTTTGCATGTAAACTGGCCACTCCTGCAGCTCAAAACACGTTCAGTGTGAACGTAGCTTTAGTCATTTATTAAACTGACCTATGGAGAACTTATGAACCAAATGTTAGGCTTGCATCATTAACGGAAGTATTTCAGTGAAAAAAAAAATCCTCTACACTATAAATCACTTGTCATGAGGAATGAACCAATGTTTCGTTGAGCTGTAGAAGTACAAACAAATTTATGAGTCATTCTAACACAGTGAAATATAAACAGCTGTGTGTGTGTGTCTGACCTGAGGCCGTTRCCATCATCAAAGAAGAAGTATTTGGACTTCATGTCTCTCAAGCTCAGTTTGGTGTTTTCACCTCGAAGAACAATCTTATCCCACAGCACTACCTGGTTCAGAGACTGAAACAAACACACAAAGACTTTTACTCTTTTGGACAAATACACACCGAGTGCAACAGAACATTACAAACATGGTGTCAGGTTAACAAGTACTCTTCAGAAATAAAGGTTTTCTTCTCAGACATAAAACTGATGCAGAGAAACGAAAGGTGGTTCCTCTGCAGAAACAGTTCTCTCCTGGGTTTCTCTTGCTTCTTTTCTTCTGATAAAGACATTTTAAACCAGGGTCAGTTCTAGGAATGGTTATGTGGTGGGGCAGGCAGAAATGTGAAGGGGCAACATGTGTTTACATTTGTTATTGTTGCCATTAAGTGCTTTCTTCATAGGATTTTGTTGTTACTGTCTGCTGTGTCCAACCTCCAAGAAATGGGTTGATCTTTGTCAGCGCTTAAAGACCTGTCCAGCTTGTGTCCCACCTGAAGCTGCTCTGTTCCACCCCTCACCAGTGGTCATGAGATGTGGATCATGACAACATCCCTGATACAAGCAGCTGAAATGGTGGCCGGGCTCAGCCAGGTGCTGTGTCATCCGGGCTGGGCTCGGAGTACAGCCTCTGCGCCTCCACATCGAAAGGAGTCAGATGAGGTTTATATTGATTACAATCCTGGATGCCTCCCTTCAGAGGGAGGAGATCCCAGGTTCGACCCAAATAGAGGCACCTCTAAAAGTAGAAAATCTTGAAAAAGTTTGTTTCTGTCAGTTCAGAAAGTGAAACTCACATATTACACTGATGATTATGGCTTAGAAAGAATTAAAAACTTTCTTTGACTTTCTAAAAGGACTGTATCGAACACAGAACCTGTCTCCTTCATGAGCCGAGTAATGTATCGCAGAACCCATTGCTCTTTCATAAGTCCTGTGATGAAACACAGAAGCATTCTCCTTCCTGAGCTGTAAAACTGGAACCCAGAACTCGCCACTTTCCAGAGACGTAAGATGGTACGCAGATCTGTCTCCTTCCTGGGCCGTGTGATAGAACACAGTACCCGTCTCCTTCCTGGGTCGTGTGATGGAACACAGAACCCGTATCCTTCCTGGGCTGTGTGATAGAACACAGTACCAGTCTCCTTCCTGGGCCATGTCATAGAACACAGTACCCGCCTCTTTCCTGGGCTGTGTGATAAAACACAGTACCCGCCTCTTTCCTGGGCCGTGTCAAAGAACACAGTACCCGTCTCCTTCCTGGGCTGTGTGATAGAACACAGTACCAGTCTCCTTCCTGGGCCATGTCATAGAACACAGTACCCGCCTCTTTCCTGGGCTGTGTGATAGAACACAGTATCCGCCTCTTTCCTGGGCTGTGTGATAGAACACAGTACCCGCCTCTTTCCTGGGCCGTGTCAAAGAACACAGTACCCGCCTCTTTCCTGGGCCATGTCAAAGAGCACAGTACCCATCTCCTTCCTGGGCTGTGTGATAGAACACAGTACTCGTCTCCTTCCTGAGCCATGTGATAGAACACAGTACCAGTCTCCTTCCTGGGCCGTGTCATAGAATACAGTACCCATCTCCTTCCTGGGCTGTGCGATAGAACACAGTACCCATCTCCTTCCTGGGCTGTATGACAGAACACAGTACCCGTCTCTTTCCTGGGCTGTATGACAGAACACAGTACCCGTCTCCTTCCTGGGCCGTGTCATAGAACACAGTACCCATCTCATTCCTGGGCTGTATGACAGAACACAGTACCCGTCTCCTTCCTGGGCTGTATGACAGAACACAGTACCCGTCTCCTTCCTGGGCCGTGTGATAGAACACAGTACCCGTCTCCTTCCTGGGCTGTGTGATAGAACACAGTACCCGTCAACTTCCTGGGCTGTGTGATAGAACACAGTACCAGTCTCCTTCCTGGGCTGTGTGATAGAACACAGTACCCATCTCCTTCCTGGGCCGTGTGATAGAACACAGTATCCATCTCCTTCCTGGGCTGTGTGATAGAACACAGTACCCATCTCCTTCCTGGGCTGTGTGATAGAACACAGTACCCGTCTCCTTCCTGGGCTGTGATAGAACACAGTACCCGTCTCCTTCCTGGGCTGTGATAGAACACAGTACCCGTCTCCTTCCTGGGCTGTATGACAGAACACAGTACCCATCTCCTTCCTGAGCTGTGTGATAGAACACAGTACCAGTCTCCTTCCTGGGCTGTATGATAGAACACAGTACCAGTCTCCTTCCTGGGCCGTACGATGTATTGCAGAACTTGTCTTTTTCCTGAGCTGCAAGATGTAACCTAGAACCCTTCTCCATCCTAAACTGTATGAAGGAACACAGATCTGTCTCCTGCCTGAGCTGTACGATGAACACAGAACACCTACAACTCAGCCAAATGTGCACATAGAGCTAACATGTGCTGTGGTAGTAGCTGACAGTTATTCATTAAAACGTTTCTCACCAACAGATGATCTTTCTCTTGAACAATCATGAAAGGTAGCAGGGAACATGATTGTTTTAAGAGAATGTTCATATTTTAACATTTATTAATGTGTGCGGACAGTGACTTACGTTGCTCTTTGTGGCATATTCAGCAGACAGGTAGAGGAACAGCTGTTTAACATTCCAGTCAAAAATGGGCTCCAAATGTGTGAAAAGTTAAAGAACAATCAAAGTGCAGACACTTTCATTAAAAACCTCAGAAATCAGACAGGTCATATTGTCCTTTGGGTTGTTTGCATGCTATATAGACATGAAGAGTTGTCTTCATACATTAATGAAGTAAAGTAGATGTAGAAGAACAAGACTTTCATGTCAGAGGAATGCAGGGAGAAAAGGAAAAAACTTACGATAATATTTAACCGTTTTAGTTGTTCTAAATAAATGTATACATTTGAACAAAGTCATTTGTTTTCACTTCCTTTCCTCAAACAGCAAAACCAGAACTAAAGGATATCAGCAGAGATGTCAAAGGTGATAAAACCCAGATCACTTCGTTCTCTGGGTCCTGTGAAGTCGTCAACATTCTTCCTGTTAAACAGAAATAAAAGTCAGACAAAAGGAAACAACAGAGATAAGGTTTTAAACAGACTTCAGGTGAATGGGCTGAAAGTACCAGGATGTTAATAATGTAAGTCAATTAAAACCTGAATTCAGATTACAGAGTGCATATTGCTAAAACAAGTGCTACTAGCTGCAACGTCTGAGCACAAACCCAAATAATACGTGTTCTGTTTGTTTGTTTTTATATGGTGGTTCAGTCGTGTTCTCCATCACACCATCCAGGCAATAAACGTCGTAAAAGTGACAAAGCAGAAGAAACCATAACACGTTATAACGAGATGGTTATGTTGATATAACAAGATAGTTTTCTCGTTTTTACAAGACAGTTTTCTAATTATAACAAGATATTTGTCGTTATAATGACATATTTTCTCGTTTTTATGAGAGTTTTCTCGTTATGAGATCCAGTTTAAAAATAATTTCATTCGTGTGACAGTTGATGCTTCCGTATAAATATATATAAATGTTAATTACAATAACAACTAATTAATAATAGTTTTACATTAAAAAATCATATTTCATTATTTTTATCATTTTTACCATTCAGCAACCTAATAGGCTGCTACAATAACTTGAAACTGACAAAAGTAATGAAACGTAAAATTACTACAAATAATCAGTTATTGAATCCTGTTTGACACCATTATTTTATAAAAACAACATGCATTTCATTCATTTATTCTGTGAATGAATGAATGAATGAATGAATGAATGAATGAATGAATGAATGAATGAATGAATTCTTCTCCTCCGTAGAACTGTCACTTAATTTTTGGACCACAATGGAAATAAATGATTCTCACTTTTTTGTGTTATCTAAGTACCAATAATGAATAGATCAGTGTAGGGATGTTGACATGTCGTCAGCAGCTGCTGCCATTTTCTTCACAAACTGCTGTGACCAGATTTTGCGAGGCTGCTCGATGCGTTTGTTTGTAATTTCCTCCTGCTTCGTTATTTCTACGAGTTTCAACAAACCGGGCTGCCGTCAGGTAGTTAGCTACAGCCTCGTCTTCGTTGATGCGTTTTGAAGAGACAGTTTTTTGAAAAGAGGATCAAAGTAAATCACCTGAGTTTTTCTAGTGAAACTTAAATAGATAATCTGCCATGAAGAACATTATTTTATCTGTCCTTGTTCCACATTCGATGATTTGAAACGTCTAAGTTATGGTTTTTTAAAATCCAGAACAGCTCTTGTTGCAAAGTGTTTTGATGCTCGTCTTCGTCACCTGACACATTTAACACGCTGTCATTGGTTGATGAGCTTTGTTTACAAAACACATGTCCACATGGTTTTTAAATTGTTTTTATTTCCTTACTTTCTAATAGGGCTGGGCAATATTGGCAAAAAACTTAATCACGATTAATTGTGGTATTTAGCTGATAATGATTAATTTGACYATTAATCCCCTGGAGTCCCTGGACTTCCTTATTTCATAGTCACATGACCAATTTAGTGGGAAAGATTTGATCTTTCTAAAAAATTTGTTCCAAATTGTGTGAAAATTACAGACTTCAGTCTATACATCATATTTTAAATTGTGTTGATAGATAAATAAATTACACAACTTTATTTTTAAATGTTTGTCATACTTGAAGCAGAGAGGAGCACCAAGCAGACTGACCAGAGTAAGCTCCAGTCAGTCTGCCTGCTGGCATTAATCGTATTAATCATCTAGTGACAAAAACTAACCGATTAACGTTTTTCTGACGATTAATTGCACACGATACGATTATGCCCAACCCTACTTTCTAAGACACATTAAGTTGATTTGATGCTACAGTTTGTCTTTTAATGTTATTTTATACCTTTTCTGCTACTTTTGAATTGGCTATTATTAAGTTTTATTAGTTTTTAGGATACAAGATGCTTCCTACAAATCCAGAATGGAAATCTTTTCCTAACATTTCATGGTGATATGTTGAACACTGAGGAAGTTATGATCAAAAATAGAAAACAACAAGGTGAAATGATCCCATTGGTTCTGCTGTGAACAAGAAAACATGATGTGATTTCACCTGAACAAACATCAATAACTTCAGATAATCACAGGATTCTGGTGTTATTTTGTAGGTTTGAAATATTCTTTATGAATCCGCTGTCAGAGTTAATATTAGTGTAGGATTAAACATTTATACACATCCCTACATGTACATGCAACATTACTGCTAAATAAAGTCAATGAAGGTAAAGTAAGCTCCACCCGGAAGTCAGTGACACACATGCTTTCATCTGCCCGGAAGTAAAAACGCGGCTTATAAACGGAACAAAACCATGAAACTAAAGTCCAGCTGGTGGTTTGGAGTGGGTCGGATCCGACAGCTGTTAGCTGGTCGTTCAGAACTGGGTCAGAAGATGACTTACAGCATCACTTTGGAGACGTGGATGTCCACGGGCACTCTCCGGTCCTTGAAGGCCGTAGTGACGAAGCAGCCGAAGGTTAAAGCCGCCATGACGCTCAGGGAGAAGGCGAACAGCGAGTTGGCTCTCGATAAAACCGTGTTCATCTTCAGAAAACAGCTGCAGCCCGAACCAGAGGATGAAACACAACGGTTCACTGATACAGCCACAACCGGAAGTCCTCGTCACTTCCTGTTTTGGTCTTCTTCTTCTTCTCTTCTATTATGGCGGATCGCAGCAACTACAAGGTGCATACCGCCACCTACTGTACACGAGTGTGTTTGTTTTTTGTTTCTTCTTCTTCTTCTTCTTCTTCTTCTTCTTCTTCTTCTTCTTCTTCTTCTTCTTCTTCTTCTTCTTCTTCTTCTTCTTCTTCTTCTTCTTCTTC